TGTTGTAGTAGTTGTAGTAGTAGTAGTAGTAGTAGTAGTAGTAGTAGTAGTAGTAGTAGTAGTAATAGTAGAAATAGTATGGGTAGCATGGGTAGTAGTAGTCTCAGTAGTAGTACTACTAGAAGAAGTTGCAGTAGTAGTTGTTGTTGTCGTAGTAGTAGCAGGATTAGTAGTACGAATGGTAGTAGTAGTCGTCGTAGTACTAGTAGTAGTAGTAATAATAGTACTAGTAGTAATAGTAATAGTATTAATAATAATATTAGTAATAGTATTAGTAATAGTAATAGTACTAGTACTAGTAATAGTACTAGTAATAGTAATAGTAATAGTATTAGTAATAGTAATAGTAATAGTAATAGTAATAGTAATCCCACCAGCCCTTTGGGCGTGAGTGGTTTAGAGAGCCCGCTCTGTCCTCAACCCCCCTTCTTCCCCTTCGGGGAGGGGTTTACCCCTCCCCTTACCCCCTCCCCCTGGGTCTGGAGAGGGGGTGTCGCGGGTCGTTGGAGGGGTCTTTTCCGACTCCTGGGAGGGCTAAAAAACGACTACCCTCACAAGGATTCTGGCCCCGACGGGGGGGCGGAGATAGGCCCCTCTCCTCTTCTGTGAAGCCAAAAACATTGATTTTACTATGGTTTTGGCCCCATTTTGGCCTTCTGAGGGCGCAGCGCTCCTCGTCCTTCATAGCAAAATCATTGATTTTACGAAGGTGTTGGGCTCATTTTGTCCTTCTCAGGGGGCAGCTCTCATTTGCGCTTCTGAGGAGGTCGCAAGAGGCACCAAGATGGCCCCAAGAGGCCCCCAGGAGGCTCCCAAGAGGCCTCCAAGAGGCCCCCCAGAGGCCCCCAAGCGGCCCCAAGAGGCCCCCAAGAGGCCCCCAAGAGGCCCCCAAGAGGCCCCAAGAGGCCCCAAGAGGCCCCCAAGAGGCCCCCAAGAGGCCCCCAAGAGGCCCCCAAGAGGCCCCAAGAGCCTCCAAGAGGCCCCCAAGAGGCCCCACGAGGAGCCCGAACGACTCACACCAGGACGAGGGGCCCGAACGACTCACACCACGAAGAGCCCGAACGACTCACACCACAAGGAGGGGCCCGAACGACTCACACCAGGACGAGGCGCCCGAACGACTCACACCACGAGGAGCCCGAACGACTCACACCAGGACGAGGGCCCCGAACGACTCACACCACGAGGAGCCCCAACGACTCACACCAGGAGGAGGAGCCCGAACGACTCACACCAGGACGAAGGGCCCGAACAACTCACACCACGAGAAGCCCGAACGACTCACGCCAGGACGAAGAGCCCGAACGACTCAAACCACGACGAAGAGCCCGAACGACTCACACCAGGAAGAAGGGCCCGAACGACTCACACCAGGACGAGAGGCCCGGAGATATGCGGGCGCAGGCGGAAACACGCCTGAAAAACACGACAGTCGGCATGCTTCGCAAGAGTTGCTGTTTTGAGATGGGCTGGTGGGGATACGCGAAGCGTGAAGAATAGTAATATTAATAGTAATAGTAATAGTGCTAATAATTCCAGTAGTAGTGGCAATCGTACAACTATTGGTAAACAGGTACTACCAGAAAAAAATAGCATGGTTATGAGCATTAGTACAATGATTATTAGTCATAGCTTTACATATGTGGTTATGGCTGATAGTATTAACAATGATACAAAAGCATGGAAATATGATTAACCTGGTCAGTGTTAGTATCATTAGTCGTATGGTTGATATTAATTGTCAAATCAGTATTGCTTGCAATAGCCTTACCGTTGTCATTACTACGAATCAGGATATTATGATGGTATGAAATTGCGAGCTAATAATAATAATAATAGCCGTAGTAGTAGCAGTAATACTAGAAGTAGTAATACTAGTAGTCGTAGTAGCAGTGTTCCTAAGGCTATCATTAATACTTTGAATACGAATATCCGTATGAGAATCAAAACGATCATTCGCACGATCACTGCTACGAATTTGAATTTGGTTAGTAGTAATATTATTGTTGCCGATACGAGTGCTATGATTAAAGAGTGTCTTCCTCTAGATTCAAGTATTACAATTCTCAGTGTTCGAATTGACAATGGTAAAACGAAGTAACAATAACAATACAACGTGACAATGCGCATACGAGTAATGTTAAAAGACTACTCGTAGTAGTCCTGATAAATGATTAGTCATCCTAACATTCTTCTAACATTTGTACATATTACTAAACAACTCTTAGTCGGTGATTACTATGTTCTTGGTAGCCATATTTCTACTGGTAGAATGGTTAAAACAGTGATTATCCGTACTACAATTATTATTACGAGCATGGTTAATATTATTATGTCTTTTATTATTATACTCATTACTATCCAATTTCGTCCGATTGCGATTATTTCTACTATTAGTAGTACTAGTCTAATGTGTCCTGTCACTCTTCTTTTGATAGCTATTTGTGTCATTTGTATTCCTCCTTCCTCTCCTCTTCCTCCTCCTCCTCTTCCTCCTCCTCCACGTCCACTTACTCCTCATCCTCCTCCTCCGCCTTTTCCTATTCCACCTCTTCCTCCTCCTCCTCCTCCTCCTCCGATTTTTCCTACTCCTCCTCCTCCTCCGCTTGCTGCTATTCGTCCTCCTCCTCCTCCTGATCCCTCTTCTCCTCCTCCTACTCCTCATCCCGTCCGTTTCCTTATACATAACTTCCTGTCGCACCCCGCGGTCCAAGAGGCGAGCCGGACGCTTGGCTTGAGACTTCCTCACTAATTGTGATCATGAAGGCTAGAAATTTGCAACAATTTCACAAATGGAGGGCGGGCTGTGTCCAACATGTGGCTCTCGTCTGAGCGCCGCGCACATTCGCCTTGAATATTTGCAAGGTGTCCTGGATTGGGGGTGTCTCTTTTTCCAAATGTGGCTCTCGCCTGAGCGCCGCGCACATTCGTTATCAAAACTGGCAAGCGTTTCATAAATTGAGGGCGGGTCGTTTTCAAAATGTGTCTCTCGCCGTAGCGCCGCGCAGATTCGTTGAAAATATTGCAAGGTTTCATTGAAGGTGTATCTTTTTCACAAGGTGGCTCTCGCCTTAGGGCCGCGCACATTCGTTTAAAGAATTGCTAGAGTTTCAGGGATTGAAGCCAGTTCCTTTTCAAAGTGTGGTTCTCGCCCCAGCGCCGCGTACATTCGTTCCCAGAATTACACGGATTGAAACCAGTAACTCTCCAAAACGTGGTTCTCGCCTTAGCTCCGCGCACATTCGTTGGAAAGATTTGCAAGAGTTCCACTGGTTGTCGAAGTCCCAGGAATGGCGTTCTGCCGCGACTCAGGATCGTCAAGACGCAACAGTCATGTTGATTCGTGGCGTTGGAGTCCCGATAACGGTGCTTGGGCACGCTTCGGGATCTTCAGGACGGTTGTCTCCCAACGGGGCACTTCCCCCAGTGGAAATGAATCCTATTGAGGGGGAGCTTGGAGGGAGGGTATATTCCGACATCGTTGGTGAATATTGGGTTTTCACTGCTCCTCCTCCCTCTCCTCCTCCTCCTCACCTCCTCCTCCTCCTCCTCCTCCTCATCCTCCTCCTCCTCGTCATCCTCCTCCTCATCCTCCTCATCACCACCACCACCACCACCACAACCATCATCATCATCAGCATTATCAGCATCATCATCATCATCATCATCATCATCATCATCATCATCATCATCATCATCATCATCATCAGCAGCAGCATCAGCATCAGCATCAGCATCAGCCTCATCACCATCTCTATCACCAGCATCAGCAGCAGCATCATCAGCCTCAGCATCATCATTATCATCATTATCAGCATCATCAACAACGACATACTTCCCATCATTATCAGCAGCAGCATCATCATCACGTCGCCTCATCCTCCTACTCCTCCTACTCATCCGCCCCTTCCCGTCCTCCCCCTCCTCGCGCGCGCGTAAACCTGTCCGAAGCATTTGGCAGCACACCCTGAATCCACGAATCATCACCCGGAATCTCAGAAAGCCGCCCGGGGGACCTTCGTCTTCATCTTCCTCCTCCTTCCGCTCTTGCTCCTCATCCTCCTCCTCCTCCTCCTCCTCCTCATCCTCCTCATCCCCATCCTCATCCTGATCCTCACTCTCATCCTAATTCCCAAGCCTCATCCACATTCCCATCCTCATCCCCCTCCCGCTTCGACTTCGAGTATCGAGCTGCGGACGATACTGTACCTAGTTACCGTCGCGCTCGTCCCCTCCTTCTCCTCCTCCTCCTCCTCCTCCTCCTCCTCCTCCTCCTCCTCCTCCTCCTCCTCCCACTCCACCTCCCTCCTCCTCCTCCTCCCTCCTCCTCCTCCTCCTCCCTCCCTCCTCCTCCTCCTCCTCCTCCTCCTCCTCCTCCTCCTCCTCCTCCTCCTCCTCCTTTCCTCATTCGTCACCACCTCCTTTTGCATGAGAAACCTCGCATCGGGATAATTGCATCTCTTTCCGTTCTGTCGAGTGTGCGTCTTTGGGGAGTGTTTCTGTTTTGGCTGTGCCCGAGAGGAATACAGTCGGTGGTCGGTGGAAGATAAGTCACTGAACCTTCTATCTGGGGTCCATTATTTTGGATGCACCAGCCTATCCGTGCCTCGAGGCCGCTTCGCGACAATGTGTGAGCAGGGCTGTCCGACGAACGTGGCCCGACAGGACCTCCCGCTGGGGGAGTTCTCCGGGTTGGTTCCACTTTGTTGCGCTCGGGCGGGGGCGGACAGAGCCTGCCGTCCGCCCCCTCCTGCACGATGAGGGACTCGTTGGCCCAGGGATTTCTGCTCTCACTTCAGAGCGCTCGGTTTTGCCTTCCCCCAGGGGCTCGGGCACTGTGTCTTGCTTCGTTCACGCCCTCCTCATTCAGGATCCCCCGTGGCTTCACGGACGGCCAGGCGATCCTGGACATCGGCCCCTCCTCCATCCCCTCATCTGCCCCTCCAGTGGTGGCCATCATAGGCGCCACCCCTCGGCAGCTACCGTCATAGGGGCTGCTGGGGTCCCGCTCCCACGAGTACACAAATCTACTAAGCCGTCATTGGCACCAGAGGGGGCCGACGCCCCCCCTGCGGCCCCTGGCCAACGAAGACGGCCGTAGGGAGCGGTGCCAACGTACCTCCACACCTCAGACCCCAATGCCTTAAGGCACCAATTGCCACCACTCAGTGTGTTCCTCCTCCTCCTCCTCCTCCTCCTCCTCCTCCTCCTCCGCCTCCTCCTCCTCCTCCTCCTCCTCCTCCTCCTCCTCCTCCTCCTCCTCACGCCTCACTCCCCCTCCTCTTCCCTCCTCCCTCCGCCCTCCCCCAAGTGGCTGGTCTGCTGCAGGCGCAAGCCGGCTGCAGTTCCAAATTAAAGTCCGGCCTCCCCTTCCTTGTCTAGAGGCCTCCTAGATGGGGCCCGAGTAGATGGGGTCGGAGGATTGCGCCGCATCGCCGATGCATCGGCGATACATCGCCGATGCATTGGCGATGCATCGCCGACGTCGGCGATGCATCGCCATCGTGGAGAAAATCAGGCTCCACATCGAGCCGCATCGCCGATGCATCGCCGATGCATTGCCGATGCGGCGCGAACCTCCCACACCATCCCCTCGGACCCCATCTGGGAGGCCTAGACCTTCGCGCCAATCTGGGAGACCGTCCTTCTCCTCCTCCTCCTCCTCCTCCTCCTCCTCCTCCTCCGCCTCCTCCTCCTCCTCCCGCAAGCCTCCTCCTCCTCCTCATCCTCCTCCTCCTCCTCCTCCTCTCTCCTCCTCCCCCTCCTCCTCCTCCTCCTCCTCCTCCTCCCGCAAAGCCTCCTCCTCCTCCTCCTTCTCCTCCTCCTGCCGCAAAGCCTCCTCCTCCGCCTCCTCCTCCCTCCTCATCCCTCCTCCTCCCGCAAAGCCTCCTCCCGCTTCCTCGCGAGGCCCCAACTCGCACGAAGGGGCCCGGGCCTGGAAGGCGGCGTTGCCCTTGGCCTTGGCGGCCGCCGCCTTCTCCTTGTCGGTCATGGGCGGCGCGCCTGCCGCCCGAGCGCGGCCGTGGAGGCCCAGAACGCTCGAGGATCGAGTGGTTCGGGGCGCTCGAGGCCCGTTCTGACCAGAATTCCGCCGTGGCGACGAGGGCCTCCCAGGAGGCCCAAAAAAGCGAAGCGAGGGAGGGATAGCAGCATCAGCACCTAATCCTGGTCTGACCTCTGGGGCTCGTCAGGGGTGCCCTGTGGAGGCCGTGGGGCCTCCGGGCCACGGGGGGGGGGCACTCTTTGCAACACCCGAGCTCCAGGCTCGGCGCGGTTACCGCCCTTCGCCCTCCCATGTCTTAGGAGGCAACTCCCGGGAGGGCTTCGTCAGAACGATGAAGGGCTATCAAGCCCGATGTGAGAAGGGCCAGGGAACCGGAATGGGCTGGATCGGGCCTGGGGCTGACCCGGAATGCGCGGGATTCCGCCGGATTCTGCAGGATTCCACTGGATGAAGCTGCTGGATGAGGCCAGATTAGGCCAGTCTTCGACCGGGGACATGACCAGCGCCGATGCGGAATTTGCCCTCCCAGAAGTAGCCCCCGAACATTTCCCCCTCGGCTATCCTTCCCACTCCCGCTTCAGTGCGCAGGGCGCCAGGCACGCGCAGCTGGCACAGGATGTGCGAGCGGGAGGACGTGTGCGTGGAGGATCGGGACAAAAACAAGCCAGGGCGAGGACGGGGGAGCGACCACAGTGTGCGTGAGAGCCCACACACTGTAGCCTGGGAGGCATCCGCGGAGTTCGTCTGCCAGGGCCTCCAGATTCGACCACTTGAACATAGCATTGAACCATGGCCAGAATAGGTCGCAGCAGTCAGGCAGCGTCCCCTCGCAACGCCCTTCTGGCGCGCAGAAATAAATTGAAATGGCTCCCGATTCAGGCCCAGGTTCGCTTAGACTAGCTCCAGGCAGGACATCACGGCTCAGCGCTGACCAAAGCAGCCAAACAAACATGGTCGTCTTTGTCGTAACGGCGGTCGCCGCGACAATAATTCAGACATGTGTGGGCGACCACTCTTCTTCCTCCTCCCGTCCTCCTCGTTCTGACGTCAACGCATCGGTTGGCACCCAATGTCAGTAGCGAAAGTCAATTGGCATCTTCTAGCGTATCCTGCCATCGGCCTTGGCCGCAGTAAGAAAATCCAAAGCTGCAGGTTAGCGTTCAGAAGGCGTATTTGACTTCGGGGGTTGGGTCAGGAAGGCATCAGGAAGTTGGGAACACGGACGAATGCTGGCCAGCTGACAAGCTGGCGCATTCCAGGTCAACGACGGCAAAAGAACGTCTGGAAGTAAAATTCACCCCTAACAAAGCGTGGCAGTTTATTCTCGAGGAGCCCAGAAAATGCCCTGAACTACAGCCCCTCTAATGCCGAGCAATGAGATCACTGAATGAGAGTCCCTCATTCCTCCATCATGTCCCTTTCTCCTCTCATCATTCGGGGCAGGGTCTGGTCGAGACAGTCGGCATCGACGACGCATTGAGTGGACCTGAAGGGGCAGTTTTGGGATGACTCGTCTGTACCTCCTCCTAGTCTGCACCCCGCGGGGCGAAGGTAATGAACACAACAACAACAACAACAACAACAACAACAACAACAACAACAATCATGTTTAGACTGTTCGCTCTTACTGGCACGCGTGTCTTTCATTCTGTATACCCCAACCCTCGATACCCGCCCACTTCGTCTTCGATTGCACCCCCTATCAGGGGGGAACATCTTCCTTGTCGGCCACTGACTGACGTGCGAGGAACTCTGAGCGAGAGCGCCGTTCCTGAGTTCGGGGGCCTCTCTGGCGAGGGGCTCTGGGAATGCAAATGGAGAAATATCGAACGGGAACCCTTGTCGCCGTGTCTGGGCCTCCACCAACTTGCTTGTCCAGGGCCGCTCTGGCAACGGCCTTTGCGAATACATCTTGAGAGAGTAACGAACGAGAGTCCCTGTCGTCGTAGTTGGGCCTCCACCAACTTGATTGAATCACTAGAAATTCTCGAACGAGAGCGCCGTTCCTGAGTTCGGGGGCCTCTCTGGCCACGGGCTCTCGGAAAACATATGGAAAATATCGAACGGAAACCGTTGCCGCCGGGTCTGGGCCGCCACCACCTAGCCTGAATTACGAGAAGGTCTCGAGCGAAAGCGCCACTCTTGAATTCGGGAGCCTCTCTGGCAAGGGCCTGTGCGAATACATTGTGAGGAAGTATCGAACGGCAGCCCTTGTCGTCGTAGTTGGGCCTCCACCAATTTAACTGAATCACGAAAAATTCTCGAGCAAGTGCGCCATTCCTGAGTTCGGGAGCACTCCTTGTCAGGCGTGCCTGGAGTAAATCGTAAGGAAGTATCGAGCAGGAGCCCTTGTCGTCGTGGCTGGGCCTCCGCCAACTTGATCGAATTGCGAGGACATCTCGAGCGGAAGCACCGTTCCTGAATTCGGGGGCCTCTCTGGCCAGGGTGTCTCGGGAATAACTGTGAAGAAGTATCGAACGGGAGCCGTTGTCTGTGTAGCCAGGCTTCCAAGGGCCCACATTTACACTGAAGCCAACGCTTGCGCGGGAGCCTCGCTTTCAAAGAAAATGTAGCCGGCGTCGAGGCGAGAGCGCGCCGAACCGTTTCAAGATATCGACAATAACTATTCAACAGCACCAACAACAACAATCAGTTTAAGACTGTTCGCTCCTATCTGCTCAACTGTCATTCAACGCGTATGTTCCAAACCCTCGATACCCGCCCTCTTCGTCTTCGATCGTACCCTTTTTCGGGGGTGTATCTTTCTTCCCTGCAGGCTGGGCCCAGGCAAGCGGCGGGGCGGCCGCGGACCGTCGGCCTGGCCAGCGCAGCGGCAGCGCTGATCGGCGGCAACCCGACCCCAAAAGGGACGGACGGGGGACAGACCACGACGACGACCACGACAACGACGACGACAACGACGACGACGACGACGACGACGACGACGACGACGACGACGGCGGCGACGACGACGACAACGACGACGACGAGCGCAAGCGAGAGCGAGAGCCAGAGCGAGAGCGACAGCGGGGCCACGAAGGGCAGGAAGGGTGCCACGAAGGGCGACAGCGAGGCCACGGAAGGCTTGCGCATGGGGCCACGAAGGGCGCAAACAAGCGGGGGCCACGAAGGGCAGAAAATGCGGGGCCACACAGGGCAACGACGGGACCACTGAGGGTAGCAACGGGTCCACGAAGGACAGCGAGGGGGCCACAAAGGGCGACACCGGGGCAACGAAGGGCATGCAGATGGGGCCACAACGGACGCGAACGAGCGGGGGCCACGAAGGGCATACGTATAGTGGGCCGCGGCGGGCAAGGACGGGGCCACTGAGGGTAGCAAAGGGGCCACGAAGGGCAGTGAGGTAGCCACGATGGGGGACAGCGGCGCCACGAAGCGTATGCATCTGGGGCCACGACGGGCGCAAACGAGCGGGGGCCACGAAGGGCATACACATGTGAAGCCACGAAGGGCAGCGAAAGGGCCACGAAGGGCTGCAACGGGGGCACGAAGGGCAGCGAAGGGGCCACGAAGGGCTGCAACAGGGCCACGAGAGGCAGCGAAAGGGCCACGAAGGGCTGCAACGGGTCCACGAAGGGCAGCGAGGGGGCCACGAAGGGAAGCAACGCTCTACTCCCACTACTCTTGATAGTACTAGTATTAGTATTACTGCTACTACTGCTACTACTGCTACTACTACTACTACTACTACTACCACTACAACTACTACTACTACTACTACTACTACTACTACTACTACTACTACTACTACTACTACTAGTACTACTACTGATACTACTACTACTACTGACTACCACCACCACTACTACTACTACTACGCTACTACTACTACTACTACTACTACTACTACTTACTACTACTACTACTAACTACCACTACTACTACTATACTACTACTAACTACTACTACTACTACAACTACTACTACTACTACTACTACTAACTAACTACAAACTATTACTACTTACTACTACTACTACTACTACCACTACTACTATTACTACGACGACGACGACGACGACGACGACTACTACTACTACCACCACCACTACTACTAACTACTACACTGCTGCTACTACTACTACTACTACTACTACTACTACTAACTACTACTACTACACTACTGAACGAACTACAAATACTAACTACTGCTGCTATTACTACTACTGCTACTACTACTACGACTATACGACGACGACGACGACCGACGACACGACGACTACGACTAACTACACTACGACAACTACGACTACGACTACGACTACTAACTACTAACTACTACTACTACTACTACTACTACTACTACTACGACTACAACTACTGCTGCTACTACTACTACTACTACTACTACTACTACGACTACTACTACTACTACTACTACTACTACGACGACGACGACGACGACGACGACGACTACTACTACTACCAGTACTACTACTACTACTACTACTACTACTACTACTACTACGACTACTACTACTACCTCTACGACCACGACTACTGCCGACACTACTATTCCCACTACTGTTACCTCTACTACTACAACGACTACTACTACGACGACTACTACTGCCCTACTCCTATTACTCGTACTACTACTACTACTACTGGTCCTAGTAGTAGCAGTAGTAATAGTAGTAGTTGTGATAACTGTTATAAAAATAGAAGTAGAAGGACTCGTAGTAGTGGCAGTAGTAGTAGTACTAGTAGTCGTAGTGGCAGTAGTTAAAGAAGAAGTAGAAGTAAGACGAGTAGTAGTAGTAAAAGTAGTAGTAGTAGTAGTAGTAGTAGTCGTAGTAGTAGTAGTAGTAGTAGTAGTAGTAGCAGTAGTAGTAGTAGTAAGAGTAATACGAAAATATATAGAAGTAGTAGGAGTATGAGTAGAAGTCGAAGTAATAGTAGTAGGAGTAGTCGCCGTCGCAGTAGCATTAGTAATGGTCGGAATAGTCGTCGTAGTGGTAGTAGGGG